TTCTCTTTATATACACAAAAGTGTATGTTTGGCCCGTAGTAAACGTCTAGTTGCCGATGCCTGATCTTTCCAAAAAATTTACATATTCATTGTTTTAATACGGGGAATTCATATATTAAATTTCAATGAAATCGGTTGATTATTTATCTTTATATACCCAAAAATGTATATTTGGCCCGTAGTAAACGTCTAGTTGCTGATGCCTGATTTCTTCCAAAACATACGAATTTTTGCGGACGGTCGAGCTGAGCTTATATATAAAATTTCAAGTAAATCGGTTGAATATTTTCTTCAAAATGTTCAAAAATGTAAAACAGGCCCGCTAAAAAGTGGAGTTCCCGAGCCCTGATATATACCAAAAGTTGATCGATCCGTGCCATGGTGGAAACAAACTTACATATAAAATTTCATCAAAATCGGTTCAGACGAACTTGAGATACACGCGTGCACACACAGACCGACAGACCGACAGACCGACAGACCGACAGGTTGCTAAAAATAGTTTATTTACACTTCCCTACTATGGAGAAGTGCATTCCCACCGAAAACTCGATATGCAAAATTTGTTGCCATCACATAACCTACCTATTGTTTACACAATACGGTCGGTAAAAATTAATATTTGAAATAATTATAGTTTTTCCTAAATAAATATTTTATTTGCTTTAATTTTTTATTTATTTTCCGGCTTTATCACATTTTTATTTGAAATTAATTCAAATTATTAGATTTATTAGATAATTTTTATGGTGTACCATAATATTTTTTAGCTTAGATACATAAAATTTAAAATTTTAAAATTAAATTGAATAATTGTAGAGGTTTACACTATTTTTTCGCGAGGAAGATTTATGCCTTATTTTTATTAAGAATTTCCACTGATCACAAGAGCTTGTACACAACTGATTAAACGAAAATCATGTTCAAAAACCAGAAATAGGAATTATTTCAGGGAACATTTTACAATTCATTCACAATAATCAAAACTAATATATTATATTCATGTAACCCTTCTGCGGAGAAATGAATTTTATATGACCAATATTGTAGAAAAAAAAGTTGATAATATTAGTGTGTATTAATAAATTTTCGTGACATTATACAAGTAAATTACTAATTTACAACATGCATAAAACTGTAAGAAATAATAGAAATAGAAGAGCACCTATTTTGCGAGTAGCCGGTAGTTGTTTATATAAAATAATTAAAAATATAAATAATTAAAAATACAAAAATAAACATAACATTCAAGGTCTACAAAATTTTGCAAACTTTCGTTCTTTTCAGTCATTTTGAATCATATTGAGTATAGGTGTTAAAAAATTCCATTTAATTTCAACTAATCAATGGTTTTGTTTATTTGGTAAAATTCACGGTTTTCTGAAAAGTGGAAGAAATCTGAAAATATTGTTTCTGCATTATGAAACAAAGTTCAAATTCAAATTTTCTAAGTTGTGTGTTTTCATATTGTTGTATACATATGATTTTGAGTTTCGGAAATTAATCGTTATGTAACCTACAATTGGACACACCTTTACAAAATTTGATATTAACATCTCTATTAGTTTTTGAAATATTTAAAAAAATCTCTTTGAGTTGTATGACAGATATCTGAACCCGTTATCCAAATTAGTTCAATTATGATAGCAGCCACAGTTGGCATAAAAGAAACAACTTGTGAAAGTTTGGTGTCAATTGCATTATTCGTTTTTGAGATATCATGCGATCGGAATTAGGCTGACATGTCTGAATCAACGCAGAATTTTACACTAAGCAAAAATAAATGTATAAATATATGTCCGGAGACGACTCCTTCATGTGACTACAAACTCCATACAAAAGGGAATATACTCTTCACGAGGATCCAAGGTATAAAAAGAAGTCACAAGGGTTAAATGCAGTATAAATACCAGGTCTTATTACTCCATTTTGAAAATTTCTGAAAGGCATCTGGTTTTTTTGTTAGATACTGTGACTTTTCTCTATCGCACTGGAAATATTCTTTAAACAATATAGAAATCGACACTTTCCCAGTGTTAACGCAACTTTTTTTACATTAACATTTACGACAACATAGATTCTTATAATTATTTAGTTAATCTTATAATAAGAATTCTCTATACAATATAGAATAAGGTATCGATAATAAATGAATGAAAAAAAAAAATTTTCATTTTCATAATAAAATTTTAATTTTCTTCATTCAAAAATAAATTTTTAAACAATGGTTGGTTCTTTTGCTTCTGTTCTAATTCTAATATGAAATTATACAATGTTGCAAAACGGAAGATAAATAATACGATATTGATTATAATAAGTATAATTGGGTCCCTAATATCTAGTTGATGAAATTATAAACTGAGTGTAATCTAAAGAGGAATCAAGTAAAAAAAATAAAAACGCAAAAAATAATTTTTATTTTCTTTCTTCATGCGTCAAGGCCAATCTAAAATTAGAAAACTAGAACACTTTTTTAAAATTTATTTGATGCAAAATAAAAGAATGAAAAAACATTAAAAATGTATAGGAGAAAATTAGAAAAAGTTTTCCTCCCGACATTTTTCAAATGAGGAAGTTAAAATGAACACAGACAGAATAATATAATTATAAATGTTTGTATTGAGGAATATGTATCGCCGCCTACTATTTGCGAATTACGAATACAATGTCACAAAATAAGCAAAGTATAATTATATTATGTATATATACATAATGTATGTACAATGTATAATGTATTTTGTGTTACAGCACAGAATGTTGTAAAGAAATGAGTTAATGGTAGCAAAATAGGACGATTTTAAGATATTTCAAAGTCTATTCAAAAGCATTTTTGAAATATTTATTAAGAGTTACTTAATTATTTTAAAATAGTTATACTTAACACAGAATTACATGCATGTGTATGTATGTATGTGCGTTATATTGCTAATTGCATTCATGTTTATATTCTTTATGAGTAATTCGCTTTGAATAACGTACATAGTTAGTTATATTGTCTTTTTACTTATGTTTATTTTTATTCGATTTGTTAAGTAAAGTTCTTTTTCTGACAAACCAAGTATAATAACAACGACACAATTACTTTTTTGTCAGTTTCATAAGTCTAACACATTATGAAAATTATAGAAATGTCATATTATGCATGGTCATTATCTCCATCGTTAAATTTAATCTACAGGTACTGACGAATTCTTTATTGTCATAATTAATCGTAATATTGAACAAGCATTGTAGTGTGTCCAACCCGCGTTCAAATTAGTATTTATCGACGAAATCATGAATTCTTCATGAAAGTAAACTAGTACCTACCTATTTTAAGGAAAAACTTAACTCCGAATAAAACGGGTCTGGAAAAGAATTTCATTGTTTTTAAATGTAAGGAATCAAAGCTACATTAACTAAGAAATTATAATATCAGAAGTTAAAAATTCTTAAGGGAAGGCCTAAGAGTTGAATGATTGGCCAAGCTTAGCCACACGAAAAAATTCCATCTAGCTTAGCCACAAAGCTTGCAAAGTCAATGACATCTTGTGGCAACCATAAAGAGAAAGCAAACGCTGTAGAATACCTATCCGGAAAGATCTTAAAACTGAAAAAATTAAGGTTTTAAGCAATTTGAATAATGTACGAATACGAATTAAAATATACCGAAAATATTTATGTATGCTTTATTTTGGTTACTGTTAATATGATAAATTTATTTTCCCTTACAAAAAATACGAGGTTTATGGTTACTACAGTTTTGATGTATTTTTTAAAATTTAATGAAAGAAATCTTAACATTTGAAATTCAGTAACACGGTATCAATGTACAATTCAGCTTTAAGCTTGAATTGCTGAATTTCGTAGTAATGTCGTACTACTTACGTATCCTATGTATATATGTACGTTATAACAAACTATCTACAACATTGTATTTATTTTAATAGTTTTTTTTATTAATCATCAGTATTAAAATTTATTCTTGTTTACTTGTTATAAAGCAAAAAAGCTTTTAAATGTACTTTACGTCTCTGCTAAACTTTTAAAAATTATTTATCAAAAGAAAAAACAAAAAAAAATACAAGTTTTCTGAAAATAAATATTTTTTTTTTTTTTCTGTTTTTTTTTTTTGTTTTTGTTTACTTATCGCTCAAAGTATAATAAAACTTTCCGTTTACTTTGAACAATTCGAAAATATAAGCGAAAAAAATATGAATAAAGTGTAAAGTATTCAACAAGTCAGGTTGGCCGAGCGGTCTAAGGCGCCAGATTTAAGCTCTGGTTCCCAAATGGGAGCGTGGGTTCGAACCCCACACCTGACATCAATTTTTTTTTTTTGTAATTAATTTTTTTTTTAAATCATATACAGACGTACATAGTTGAAAATTTCAACTACATTGTATTTATATTTTAAATTCTGATTTTATATTTTAAACTTTCTAAAAGAGATAAGTATATGAAACGTATACCGGCAAGTATATTAAATAACAAAAATATTTATGTAATATGAAACATTAAAAATATTAATTTTACGAAACAGTAAAGAAAAGGTAAAATATCACTAATTTAAAGTATTCAAAATTAATTAAATTTGATGACAATCATTCCATCTAATTAACAACTCGCTAACATCTGAAATTATTCTAATAATTTAACCGAAAATTAAATATGATTTAATAAAAAATTCGCTCAACTTTCTTAGTATAAATATTAACTGTTATAATTATCACATGCTAGCTGGATGTACTTTTATCATCTTTTAATCTATGTATTAAATTAATATACGACTAATTGTATCTCCGTTTTTATTACAATTTAAAATCTAATTATTATTCTCATATTTTAGATATTCGATATTTTAAGCATATATGATTACTAATTAATACTAATTTTAATATTCTAAACAATTTTGAATTTTAATCTATTTAATTCAATTTGAAAACCTTTTCAGGGTGATATTTTATTATGTATGTATATCTATTTAAAAAATTTAAAATAATTTTATTATTGTTACTTACCAAGAACTCCCACAGTCGAAAACCTTTACAAAATATAAACAATATAGTAATCTGAAATTAAAAGATAAAATGTTTATTATTAAGTAATTATTGTTAAGTAATTATTAAAAAACATTTCAATATTTTAGAATTCAAAAAGAAAATCTATACGTGGAGACGCCTTTTAAAAAATAAAAGTTCTGGCATAGTTTTATCGATATAATTAAATTCAATTTTAATATAAAAACAAGAGAGAAAATTTTATTTAAATACATAATAAATACAATAAGACAAAATTTAATACAATTCAAAGATGATAATGTACTACAAATAAATATCTATTTTATACGATGACACATCATTTAGAATACGATTTATGCTGCTTCAATGTAACGCATGTATCTATTATTTACTAAGTAGGGCTTGCATTGCATAATTTTACTAGTAGATCTATGGCTTGAATTCTATAAATTTTTTTTAAAAATCACATACTTGCTGTGAATATTTTTTATGTTTTGAATCTTGAGAAATGGTAGGAAATTATAAAATCAATAATTTTAAAATATTTTGTTTTTAATCGATTTCATATTAAAAATTTAAAGAAATTCAAACAAACCACAAAAAAACTTGAGAAAAAAAAAATCTGATGTGATCAGCACATAACCAACCGCATTGTGTATTGTCTAGTTAAATGAAAGTGTTACAGAATATTATAAAAATGTCTGTTAAATTCTTCTTTCCAATTTTTAGGACATTAGTAAACTTATAGTTAACATACCTAGAAAAATGTAAATTTGGCTCTTAGTAGAGTTTCGCTTTGTGTTACCCGAATTCCCTGAAATGCTCGGCAGTTAGTTTCGGTAAAAATCAGAACTCAAATATAAAATTTCAAGAAATTCCATTAATTCGTTCCGTAGATATGGTGAAAAATGTAAAATCGGCCCGCAGATCAGTTTTCGAGCCCTGATCTTACCAAAAAATTTACATGTTCATTGTTTTAATACTAGCAATTCAAATATTAAATTTCAATGAAATCGGTTGATTATTTTTCTTTATATACACAAAAGTGTATGTTTGGCCCGTAGTAAACGTCTAGTTGCCGATGCCTGATCTTTCCAAAAAATTTACATGTTCATTTTTTTAATACGAGGAATTCAAATATTAAACTTCAATTAAATCGGTTGATTATTTCTCTTTATATACACAAAAATGTATATTTGGCCCGTAGTAAACGTCCAGTTGTTGATGCCTGATTTGTTCCAAAAGCTAGCAATTTTCACGGACGGTCGATCAAAGCTCATATATATAAAATTTCAAGTAAATCGGTTGAATATTTTCTTCAAAATGGTGAAAAATGTAAAATCGGCCCGCTAAAAAGTGCAGTTCCCGAGGCCTGATATATACCAAAAGTTGATCAATCCGTGCCATGGTGGAAATAACCTTATATATAAAATTTCATCAAAATCGGTTCAGCCGAACTTGAGATACACGTGTGCACACACAGACCGACATGTTGCTAAAAGTAGTTTATTTACACTTCCCTACTATGGAGAAGTACGTTCCCACCGAAAACTCGATATGCAAAATTTGTTGCCATCACATAACCTACCTATTGTTTACACAATACGGTCGGTAATAAAAATAGGTAGAGTTGCCCGTGTGATTCTCGTATGAATGAGTGAGTTTAAGCGTTATATGATAATTGTCACACTGTTTCACACGACCTCTTGTTTTTTATGTCTATATAGTACCATTTTATCCCAAAGACTTTTACCAATTTAATACCAATTTAACGTTTACCAATAAAAAAATTTAGACCGCGTGATTTCTTATTTATTTTTTTGAAAATTTTATTAAAAATTTTCCTTTATTAATCCTAAACCTCCATTTTTCCATATTGAAGCCGAACCAACTAATCTTTTATGCATGAATACCAAAAACAGAAAAGTTATAGTGCATACTTTTTTCTTCGAACCAAATATTTTACAAAATTTTCTATAAAAATTTTCTTTTTTTTTAAGAAATAATTCTTTTTTAATTTTCGAATACATAAAATAAAATTTTATTTTATTTGGAGTACCACCACATGTCCACATTTCTGTATATGAACGTTTTTTATTTTCGATTTTTAATTTATCAAACATTTTTGTTTAAAATTTTTATTGATTATTCAAGTACATGTTTATAGAATTTTCTATAAAACTATGTATATACATACATAGATGGTGTTATTTGCAAAAATTCTAAATAAAAAAATTCTAACAAAATATCATGCTGATTTATCATTTTCAAATTATAAGTGAGATGGGTTAAAAACCTTTTCAATGTCAAAATACACATGTTCTACATTAAAATAAAAAAAAAATTTATTTGATTTCTAATAAAAAAAAAACATGTATACGATGTAGAAAATGTTTGTTGAAGAATGAAATTAAAAAAAAAAACTGGAAGAAAAAGTAACACTACACATACAAACATGTTATCTTCGACACAAAATTATTACTAAACAAGTATGTACATATGTATGTATATTATGAAGGATGTGCGATAATTATAAAGAAAAAAAATTCGGCACGATAACTCTTAGATTACATAGTGTTATAACAGTTAATCATTTTGTAGAAACTCTCGGCAGATTGGGCCATGAAATATCCGCAGTAAGGTATGCTTGTGGTAAGAGTCCACTTAAATACAATAGAAATCCTGACGCGACGGACTCACAATGAGCGGCTCTCGTGTCTGCGACTGATCACTGAGGGACGGCAGAAATTATATGTGCTGCCTTGCACGAGGGAATTACTCTCAAAGGCTAGGGGAATAAAAAACTCCGAAATAAAAGAAAACACAAAAATGGGCGACAAACTCTTCTCGTGAGAAAGACGCTCAAAATTTTTATGGTAAAATTATTTAAATAAAATGAAATGTTATTTAGCAAAAATGATTAACATACTTATTTTTATAAAATTAAATAATACCAGGCATTTTGAACAATTAATACTTTAATGACCCTTTCAAATTTTGTTTTATAATACCCGCAAATCGGAAGCACAAAAAGTTTTTTCCTCCGATTTTACGATTCGACATTTGATCTCAATTGAAATCTCATAATCTTTTCGAAACAAGTTACATTTTTTGGCATAGGCTTTTATTATCTATTAGCTTGCCTATAATAGATGCGTATTTTTCTTATGCGTGGGGCTGAAACGTGTACTCTCATATATCAGGTATTGCCGTATTGGTCGATATGATAATTATCTTCTAAGAAAATTTCAGAATATTTAATAATCTAGGAAGCAAATTTCAGAATATTTAGTAATAAAGAATTTTAATTGTTTAATAAAGATATTAAAATTTATCTATTTAATAAAGTTAGAAAATAAAGTCAATTTTCGACCCGTTCTATATAACAAAATTCTCTCTCTAAGTACTTATACATTACAGTTATTACGCGGCTTTTACGCGATTCAACAAATGGTGATCTATCATAAAATTTTCAAGTTGCAAAAAAAAAAAAAACAAAATTAAAAGTTGAAAGCCCCCGCATTTTACTATAATAAACCTATTATTATTATTAAACATTATTTTGTAAATTAATATTAGAAAAAAAATCACATAGCTTCGTATAACAAAAAAAAAAATAAAATAAACAAATCAAAAATTGGCGCTTAACACCAAACGTTTGTGCTTTGAATATTTAAACAGCTGATTCTTTTTCATCACTTAAAATAATTTTTTATATTAAAAATTCTATATTATATTCTAGAATCTAGTTTATCATCAGATGATCTTACTTTTCTAGATTTCAATAATATACATACATAACTTATATGTATAGCTATTGTACGTATAACGTACATAAATATTTTATAGTTAGTTTTGGATGCCTTTGTTTGATTTCCTTATTCACATCTTTATATTTAGCCGCAATTTATGCTTTATTACACTATAAAGCCATAAGCGTTATGAAAATTGAAAACAGGTTGAAATTTTATAGATTTTTATTTTCTTTGTTTCAAAATGATTCTATAAAGTGTTCTTGTATGTTATTAGAATTAAGAATTATCATAGAAATTTATTTTTTTTTTAATTTTAGAATTCACGGAAAATTTTTTTTGTACATATTTATATTTTATTATGTTGTTCTTTAAGAAGTTCTTTTGTCCCATTTTAAGAATAACTTTTAATTCAAATATTCTTTTTCTTTATACTCGGTACAAAATCATCAGGTATAGAACAGTTTTTATATTTTTTTTACTTTAATAAAACAACATTACATAAGAGTTTTTGGAACATTTCCAAATTTTTTTAAGAAAGTATGCCTATCAATTTCAATATGATTAGCCGCCTATATAATATATTTACCTTCGAAACAGCTACATAGTAGATAAATAGATCGTAGTAAATGTACTATATTTCTCTAGCTACTTTTCTAAACTCTTTTTGCAACAACCCATCCCTCGAATTTAGCGCTCTTCAAAATTTTGAAATCACCAGAGTTTTATAAACAATTGAGGCCAAACTAAATGTAACGAATAAATTCTTTTAAACCAAGAAAGATTGGGAATTATTTCTTGTATAAACAAATAATGTTAAATTTTGGAATTGATCCATAAAATTAACCATTATCAATTCGATAAGCAATTTTTCTTCCAAGTTAAGTTGAAAACAGAACAATAGTAATTTTCCGCGGCGAAATGTTTTATTTCATATACTTATAATACAAATATTGCAAAGAGACTGCCCAGAACAAGTGAAGTTACCGCTCCAAATTTAAGTGCCGGTGCAAAATATCCTAAAATCCTATTCATTCCTAAATTCAAAAATTTTTCCTTTATAATCAAAATATCTTGAAAAATTTTTGAATATAAACAGTTTAGATTTAAATTGTAAAAAGGAAATGTGCTATATTTCTAACCTCGAATTCAGTTGACTATTTTTTGGAAAGTAAGATTGTTGTAAATAATGCTTAATATTATTTATTGATTTTAAGAAATCAATACTTAAAATAAGTGCAATTGGAAATTATCTGAAGAGATTAAGTAGGCATTATATGGTTTATTGAATAGATATTA